GAGGAAGAGAGGGAGGAGGAGCAGGAGGAGGGAGGAGCAGGAGGAGGGAGGAGGAGGGGGGGCGGCAGCTCGCCGGGCCCTGTGGGCGCCAGCGCGTGAGACGCCCCATCTGCCAGCGCCGCCTGACTTTCACACTGTCCTCCTGGCATGGCTTGGCCGTCTCCCCGCAGAGAGGTCGCGCCCGAGCCAGGGGGGGCATGCCCAGGGCACCATGCGGCTGGTCGGTGTCCAGGTCGGGCTCTGGCTGGCGCGGGAGGTGCGCGTCCCTCCCCAAAGCCCCTCTTCCAGCGTCCTCCCCCCCCCTCTTGCATCGAAGGAGGAGCAGGATAAGCCGAGGTAGACGACGACGACGACAATGACGACGACGACGACGACGACAATGACGACGACGACGACGACGACGACGACGACGACGACGACGACGACGACGACGACGACGACGACGACGACGACGACGACGACGACGACGAACGATGACCACGACGACCACGATGATCACGATCACAAACACGACCACGACGCCCACGACGCCGTGGCAGCGCCACCAGACTGGGGTTGGCCAAGGCTGGCTGGGGAGGCTGATGGAAGATGACTGGGAGCTGGGATGGAGGCTGAGCGATCGCCGTGTGAACGAGAAGGGGGGGCGGGGAGGGAAAACACGAAGCACCCGCCACGGACACAGAGAGGGAGGAGAGGGGAGGAGGAGGAGGAGGAGAGGAGGAGGCGGAGGAGGAGGAGGGGAGGAGGAGGAGGAGGAGGAGGGATGAGGAGGGGAGGGAGAAGGAGGTGAATGAAGAGGGAAGGAAGAGGAGGAGGAGGAGGAGGAGGAGGAGGAGGGAGGAGGAGGAGGAGGAGGAGGAGGAGGAGGAGGAGGAGGAGGAGGAGGAGGAGGAGGAGTCGAGCGTGCGGAGGAGGAGGAGGAGGAAGAGGAGGATGAGGAGGACGACGACAACGATAACGACGACGACGGCGAAGACGGACGAGGATGCAGAACACAAGGGACGAAGAAGACGGACGAGGAAGGGGGGAGGAGGTAGAGGAGAGGGAATGCCATGCAGACGGGCTCACATGCGGAATGGTGGAGGAGGGCGGAGGAGGGAAGAGAAATGAGCTGATCATTAGAAGGATGGAGGAGGAGAGAGGGGAAGGACAAGACGGAGCACAACGCGCAGAGGGAGGCGCTGCACAGTTCAACGCGAGCCTCGACCCCTGGCTTGGACGGCACGCGCCCCGCGAACTGCTGCGTGTCCCGATGCATGGATGGCGCGAAGCACTTCGGGGCATCGTCGAGTGCGACGATCCAACTCGTGGTCACAGCCCTGCTGGCGAACGCACCGTCCGAACGCCCATGAAGTGGAAGCCCGCCCGGCGGCACGCCTGGCGCATGGCCTCGGAGGCGGAGAGCGGCTGCGCCCCCCGATCGTCTGTGCTGCTGGCCGTCGCAAACCTCAAGCGCTCGTCCTTCCGGCTCCCCGACATTCCACGAATCATGGCCACACAGGCGGGAGTGCAGCCGGCCTTGACTGGGCAGGACACGCGAGAGGACACATGACCCTTCCGAGGGCCACATCGCCATAGGAGCGTAAGAGGGCACGCGTCGCGAGGCACAGGACACAAGGGTACCCTTGAGCTGGCAGGGTCGGCCTACGAATCCGGGCCGACTGTAGGGGAACGAACAATGGCATGAACATAAAAACTCGGAGGTCCGCGCGGATTTCTCGGATCGGCGCTGGAGCCCCCTGGCGGCGCCTCCGGCGCCCCGCCCGGGCGCGCTCCGCGCGCCCGGGGGGGGGGGTCCAGCGCCGATCCGAGAGATCCGCGCGGACCTCCGAGAGTTGTTCTGCTCGTGTCGTTGTTCGCCCCCCTAGGGAGGAGGAGGGCTCCGAGGAAGGGCTCGTGTCGCAAGGGCTCTGATGCCGCAGCCCTGCGCGCCGAACCCGCCGAGGGCCGCAACCTCACGGATAGGACCGCACGGGGAGGAGAGGGGTGAGGAGAAGGGGGAGGAGGAGGAGGCGGAGGCGAAGGTGGAGGCGGAGGAGGAGGAGGAGGAGGAGGAGGAGGATGGGAGGAGGAGGGAGGAGGAGGAGGAGGAGGAGAGGAGGAGGAGGAGGAGGAGGAGGAGGAGGAGGTGGAGGAGGTGGAGGAGGAGGGGGATGATGAGGAGGAGGAGGAGGGAGGAGGGAGGGAGGGAGTGGAGGGGGAGGGGGGAGGGGGAGGGGGAGGAGGAGGAGGAGGCGGAGGCGGAGGAGGAGGAGGAGGAAGGAGGAGAAGGAGGTAGGAGGAGGAGGAGGAGGAGGAGGAGGAGGGAGGAGGGAGGAGGAGGAGGGGGAGGGGGAGGAGGAGGGGGAGGAGGGCCGCGCCGTGCTGGAAGAGACCGCGCGGTGCGGTGCCCGCGGCCGGGGGCACCGCCACGGCCCGCCCCCTGCGGAAGCGCACCGCGGCGGCGCGCGGGCCCTGCGCCTCCCGCTGCCCGCGCGGAGCGCCGCTCGCGCTGCCCGCCGCCCGCGCTGCCCGCCGCCCGCGCTGCCCGCTGCCGCCCTACCACGACATGTTCTTAGAACCCCAAAATGCTTTCAGAACAAAACAATGCTCTTAGAACATAGTTAACGGGCGAAGAACGGTATACCATAAACTTTTTCGCCGTCGGGGACACCTGCCCCAGGGCGGCTGGAAAGTTTATGTTATACCGCTCTTCGCCCGTTAACATAAGCCCGACGTGATAGAACAAGACAGTCTCCGCCAGAATTGTTCCAAGACCATTTCGTGGGAACCGCAGGAGGCTCTTGGAACATTTTTTTGGTAGGGCCATACGCGAGCCAGGACGCTTCGCCACTGCTTGAGAACCCTCCGTGGCTCGAGTCTCGCACGACGGCTGCCTCCCCCGAGCGCGGCGGGGCCCGCGGGGCGAAGGCAGAGGGCCCCGCCGCCGCGCACGCCCGCCGCCAGCCCGCGCGAAGGCCCACGCCGAGGATCCGACGGACGCTCTCCCGATGGCTTCCGGCCGCCCGATGAGCACCACCGTGCCGGCACTGAATCTGTTATTAGGGGACCACATGCGAGCCCTACCCCTACCCCCCACGATTTCTGAGGGGGAGGGTTCCCTCAGGAATCGTGGGGGGTAGGGGTAGGGTTCGCATGTGGCCCCCTAGTTAGGGCTGCCGATCCTGATGCTCCAACGCCGAACGCCCACGACGTGGAACTAGGTCGACCGGCAGCGGCCCGGAGCAGAACGCCACGAGGACAGCTCCTCACGCCCACGAATATACCGCTCGCTGGTCTTTGCGGTTTTCCGGGTTCGGGAGGCAAGCTCGCCCGAACTGAAGGTGGCTGTCCGTGCGGCTCAGCCAGCTGGGCCAGCACAGCAAGACCGCCCGACGCGAACACGAGTGCACTTCCGCCCCGCCGATCGGGAGCAGCCACAGGTTTCAGAACCACACGCCGCAATCTCTCGAGCGAGGCTGGAAGCTCGGGCGGAGGCCCCTTGAGCCAAGATGGCCGCGGTCGAGCGGTGCGGCCAGCAAGCGCCAGCCGCCGAGCACACACCGGAGGACTTCTCGGGCTCCCGCGCCGCCGCCCCTGGGCCGCAGGTGCGCACCTGGTGTTGGTGCGGCTGGCGTGGCGGAGATAGCGCGCAGCATCGCTCTCCGGACGAAACGCGCTATCCCTGTGAGGCGATTCCCCGCGAGGACCCCTCGAGGAGGAGGAGGAGGAGGAGAAGGAGGAGGAGGAGGAGGAGGAGGAGGAGGAGGCGGAAGAGCAGGAGGACGAGGAGGAGGAGGAGGAGGCGGAGGAGGAGGCGGAAGGAGGCTGGCCGCATATGCGCACGCGCGCAGGTCAGATCCGCTCGACGCCGGCGGCGCTTTCAGGGCGGGCGAGGGCGGCGCCTTCCCCGCGAACCCCTCCCGAGCACGCTGTCCCCCTGCGAGTGCCCCGTCGGGTGCACGCCATGCCCCTGCCGGGACCGCGTCGGCGCACGCCAGCCCCAAAGGTGGGGGGACGGCGTGCACGAGGCGGGCCGCCGGCGCCACCTCACACCCGCTGCCTGTGCGATGCCAGCCACACGTTTCGGAGAAGCAAAACGCCATGAGCATTCACTGTCGGCGCTCCGCGCGGATGTCTTGGATCTGCGCTGGACCCTCCTCCCTGGCGCGCGGAGCGCGCCAGGGGCGGCGCCGGAGGCGCCGCCGGGGGGGGCCCAGCGCGGATCCAAGAAATCCGCGCGGAGCGCCAAAAGTTCTGTTCGTGGCGTTTTTGCTCCTTCGAATGTTTGGGTGATGCCGATCGGCCCTGAATGCTCGCCCTCCTCTCCCCCCCCCCGCGGCCGCCCTGCCCTTCCGTTTGCCTCCCCCTCCTGCGTGCCGGCCAGTTCGCTGTGCAGTGCCCCTGCACCGCTGCCACGCTGGTGCGGGTTGTCCCGCCTCGCTGCCGACGAAACAAGAGTGTGGGTGATGCCGGTCGCCCCCCCCCCCCCACCCTTCCTGCATCGGCCGCAGCGCCAGCCAGGTCCCCACGGACGGCCGCAGGAAGAGCGGACTCCGTCCCAGCTCTGGCGGCGCCGCGGCCTCCGTCGGCGCCGCCTCGTCCTGAAGGGGGGGGGGAAAGGGGAAGTGGGGAGGGGGGGAAAGAGAGGGAAAGAGGAAGGACTAGAGGGGAGGGGAAAAAAGGATGGGAGGGGGAGGGAACAGGGAGGGAGAGGGGGAGAGGGGGAGAGAGGGAGAGAGGAGCGAGGGAGGCAGGAGGGAGGCGGGGAGGAGAGAGGGAGGAGGGAGGACAGGCTAGCAGGTAGGCAAGACACTTCGGAGGGGCTTGGGGTGAGTCACCTTCCTTTCTGCGTATGTGCGCCCGCAAGGCTTGAAAGGAGGAATAGGGAGAGATCTGGGAGACGCAAGACTCGCTCTGAGGGGACTCGAGCTTGCCTGGCGGGGCCGTCAGAGAACAACTGATGGGGCCTGGCTCTCCTGCGGCCAATGCCTCACGGAAATTGGCCGTCGAAGTTCGGGCCAGGACAATCACAGAGCGGCGGCAGACCAAAGGGTCGGCACATTCGAATCGTACGTTTCCCCCGAGGGAAGGAAAGAGGGAGGAAGGGAGGGAGAACCTAAGATGGCGGAGGACGGCAAACGGAGGAAGGAGGGAGGCGAGGGAACGGAGAAGGGGGGAACAGAGGAGGGGGCAAGCGAGGGAGGTGAGGGAGTTAAGAAGAAGAAAAAACGGCATACACATAAACTGTTGGCGCTCCGCGCGGATTTCTTGGATCTGCGCTGGGCCCCCCTCCCTGGCGCGCTCCGCGCGTCAGGGGTGGCGCCAGAGGCGCCGCCGGGGGGGGCCCAACGCGGAACCAAGACATCCGCGCGGAGCGCCACAAGTTTATGTTTATGCCGTTTTTTTCTTCGTCGAGAGGTAAAGGAGATGAAGGAGGAGGTGAAGGAGGCGCTGCTCAGCATTGCTAAGCTGCTTCGGCCACAGGCCCGCCGTCACCCTATCGAGGTGTACACGACGGTGGGGCTTCACTGACTGATCGCACCGATCTCCAAGACCACAAATTTGCGGGCCTCCGAAGCACCAAGGAGGCGAAGAGGGCGAAAGAGCACGGGATATAGAGAGAGGGAGAGCAGGGAGCAGGGACCGACCGTCCCGGCATTCCTATAGTCCTACCACGAAATGTTCTTAGAACCCAAAAATGTTCAAATAACAAAAACAACGTTCTTAGAACATAAACCCGATGTGATAAAACAAGACAGCCCCAGCCAGAAATGATCTAAGAACAGTTCGTGGAAACCACAAAAGGTTCTTAGAACAGTGTCTGGTAGGGCTATAGGCGAGCCAGGACGCTTCGCCACTGCTTGAGAGCAGGGAGCACAGGTCCTCCGCGGCAGCGCCTCCGCGTGAGGCCCGCCGCACGCCGCAGGCAGCCACGGAGGGCGGCTCGGGCGAATTCGGGCAGGCGCCGTATGCTGCGCCACCCTCTTGCATCGCGCAGGGCTGTGCTCTTGCGGGCCCCAAGAATATTCACCACCACCACTTCAAGTCCTCCTTCCTCCCCTACCTTTCTCTTCCTCTCCTCTTCCCTGGGAGGGGGAGGGGGTGAGGGAGGTGGTGGTGTATATTTCTGTGCCCCGCAGTCTCTGGCTGCCAGGATCCCTATGCCACCAGGATCCCTCGCCTTTTGCTCAACGCCGCGCTTCCATCTAGGAGCCCCGGCGGCACCAAAAAGCTCGCATTGACTCGAAATGGCTGCGGCACGACTTCTTCGCTGGCATCACCCTCGCCCCATCCCCCCCCACACTCCCCATCCCTACACGGCGTCCATTTTCAATCGTGCTCATTTCTAATTGTGCTCGTTTCTAATTGTTCCTGGCCCTCTAGTGGCCAGGAAGAGGCCCAGGATGAAACAATTAGAAATGAAAGGATTTTGGTCACCAAACAAATCAAAGAACTTTCAAATAATTAGGGATGAACAATGTGTATCCCCATCCCCCTCTCGGACCAGCACGGCCCCGCTCACGATCGAGACGGCACGTCCTCTTGGAGTCCCAGTCCTCTCGAGGAGCCTGGCCGCCCCAAGGGTCCACGAACGCGCAGAGGGGTCACGGGCTCCCCTCGGGGGATGCCGGCTCCTTCAGGGGCCATCCCCCCCGTGGGGGGGTCGCAGCTCCCTCGGGGAGCCTCTGTGTCCGTCGGGAGGCCCCGCTGCCCCAGCGGTGCGCTGCTCCCCCCGGGGGGGGTACAGTCGTCGTGCGGCCACGAGACAGCAAACACAAAACGCGGAGGAGCTCGCCTGGCCACGGCGAGCCCCAGCCACGCAGGGGCTCACCGGTCCAAAAGTCTGCGGGGCGCCCCGGAAAGCCTGCCTGAGCCCGAAGCGGCCCGCGCTTCAGCGTGTGGACTGTGGCGAGTCGAGGTCTGCACGCCCTCGTCCCCGGTGGTCCCCGCGGAGCCTGCCTCACGCGCTGAAGTGTTGGCTTCTCCCTGGGCACGCGCGCCCAGTTATAATGGTCGGCAGGTGCCAGGGGGGCAGGCGGTAGACTTCGCTAAACACCGGCAGCTCGCCACCCACGTGCGATGCTCTCTTTGACATGACAGGTGATCAATTGTCTTGAAATCTGGTGAGTCGCGCCCAACGTGCGCAAGCACGGGCGAGTCTGAAAACAACACACAGGAGGAATAGCAAAAAAGCGGCCACCTAGCAAGCCTACGACTTCAGTCGGCCCCGAAGCTTTGCCACAACAGCCCCAAGGAAGTCGAATCATGCGGGGTCCAAGCAGCAAGCAAGCGCACCGGCGAGAGCTGGAGGGGTGAGAAGGAGCGGGACTTCCCAGAAGGCTCGGAAGGCCTCGGGCCATCTGAAAAGTGTCCTAAGCCTTCCCCCAAGACAGAGGCAACTTCTCATAAGGTCGGAGGGTTTCTGAGAAGCCCCGCCGCCATCTGAGAAGGCCTGGTCCGCCTCACTGCCCCCCCTCTTGCTGGCCGCCGACAGGCGGAAGCAAAGGTAAATACAAGCAACAAACATGCCAACTCAAGTGAAACGCGCGATCAAAGGTCACGCGTTCACTCGTAATGCGGCCTTGCTTCACTTCCAACACTGCTGAGGCCCGAAGGTCTGCGCCACCCGGTCTGACCAACGAGCACCGCTTGCTCTCTCGATCGTTTCGCTCACTCGTTCGGGTGCATTGTCATAGCCGTCTATTTTGCCACTGTTTCCGCTCATCAGCATGAGTGCCAGCGGATCTTCCTGGCGGGGATTCAACATCCAGTCTGGCGCCAGCTGGATGCCTGTGGTTGTTCTGGGTGCCGTTCCTTCTGATGCATGTGTTCGGCGCGTCCACTCGGAGCTCAGCTTACGCATCGTGCGCGCCATGTGCATTTCACAAACACACACGCACACACACACACACCAGGACATCGATCCAGAAACCACAGGAAACCGAAAAGACTTGTAAAACAACGAAGGTTGTAGATGGCGCCCCCCGCCCCCTCCCTTACCCCCCCTCCGCCCGCGGGTCACCCAGGGCGAGCAGCAACTGCTGAGCCTCTGCCGCGCCCTCGCCAGCGGCGCCGCCCGCGGCGTCGCTCGCCGATAAACGTGGACGGCGAGGGCGCGGTGGCCCAGCCGCGCTTGACCTAGTGCGCGCGTGCGTCGCGCGTGACGGGGCTGTAAAGAATGCGCCCTGGTTTCGACACGCCTGCAAACGCACGCAGGCGCACGCGCACACCCACCAGCATGCGAACACTGGCTCTCACCTTAGCGCCGCGAACACGGAGGGCGAGTCCTTTTCAAAATACTGCTCGCGCCCTGGCGCACACACGCAAGCGCACGCACGCACGCACGCACGCACGCACGCACGCGCGCACGCACGCACGCACGCACGCACGCACGCACGCACGCACGCACGCACGCACACACACACACACACACACACACACACACACACGCGCGCGCGCTCATACACACACGAATACACACACGCGCGCACACACACGCAAACACACACATACACGACCACACACACACGCACGCACACACACACACGCACACACACACACACACGCGCACAGACAAACACACAGACACACAAACGTTGACGAATGTATGTTTTACTCACGGGAACTTGTACCCGTGCCGGCCACATGGTATGCGAGAGAATACGTGTGTGCGATATGCGTACTAACGTGCTCTCTCGCATCAATGCGCACCGAGTGTTTGGTGGGGGGTGGCTACAACGCTGGCGCAGCGTAGACGTGCGCGCATGTGCGTGCCTTTTTTCTCTACGCACGCAAACCTATAACGCAATATGATGATATCACATTCTATGTTACGAGTTCAGATCGTAAAGGGGGACTTGAAGTCTGAGTATAAGACTTGCAGTTTGAATATCAGACTTGACTCTTACAGTAAGACCTCAGGTGTTTTTTATAGGTAAGACGCAGAAAGAAGCACCTTAGCATCCGCGGCTCATTTAAACAATCCCCAGCCCTCAGGGAGGCCGAGAACCTCCGCGCCACCCCGTGCCAGTGGCCCACGCCCACCCTGATCCCCAGCATGAACGCCATCTGCTCGCAGTCCGACGAGAGCCGCCGGGCCCGCCATAGCTGCGCCAGGAGCACGCCGCGGGGCAGCGGCCCCGCGAGTCCAAGCACGGCGCGGCCCCACTGCTCCTGCAAGCGGCTGACTTCCCGCTCAAACTCGGGCAAGTGATAGCAGAGATCCAAGCCGAGCAGCGCCGCCGGCCTCATGCAATTTCTCAGCGCGCCCAGCCGCTCCCTGTCCGGGAGATCCGCGGCTCTGCGCGGCCCGCACTTGGCGTCTGCGCGCGGCCCAGCCGACCCCCAGGCGTCAGGTGCCCCTGCGCCGGGGCGGGGCACCGTCTCGAACTCCAAGGCAGCGGAAGGAGTCCACGAAGGCTACGTCCCCGCATGCCCGGCATCCCGCAATCAGCGAGCAAGGGCTGCCGTCTGCGCAAGGCCCTGCCTGAGATGCTCCGGTACTTGGAAATTTGCATCATGGCCTGCGCCGCCAGCCCGCAATGGCCCCGCGAGGACGCCCTGCTTCGCGGGTCATCCACGAATGGCCCGGCCCCGACGCGGGCCTCTGCTGCGCCGCCCGCCAGGGCCAATCGCACCGCATCCGAAGACGCGCTCGCCACGACGTGCTCCCAGGTCGCTCTGGCCGCGGGAGGCGCGCACCACTGGCCCACCTCCTCGCTATCCAGCTCGTCCACGTCCGCCGCGCGGTAAGCCCGCAGCGCATCGTGGTCGGGGCCCAGGCCGATCCCCGGGCTGGCCCGCCCTTGCATACCCTCCAAGACGCGCCCGTTCAGGACACCCCAAATCCCCGAGGCCCCCACTCCGGGGAAGACCTCCGCCGCGCCCGAGATCAGCGCCGCATCCTGGCGCGCGAGCACCCAGGCCGCCAGCTCGGGCCGCGCGCGGCCCTGCGCCGCCCGGCTCGGGCCCGCCTCCTTGCCCGCCCACATGCCGCGCGCCGCGCCGCCGGCCTGGCAATGCGGGCGGCCGCGGACGGCGGCGGCGGAGCATGGCGAGGATGGCGGGCTTCCCCTGGGAATCCCCATCTAGCCGGGCGCGGCCGCCATGGCTCCGGCACCAGTTCAGGGTGATCTGCGCGATCTTCACGCACGGCGCGTCCGCCGCGCATCTGGGCGCGAGGTGCAAACTGCCCTTGCGCGCGCCCGGCTCGGCCGGGTCGGCGACGGAGGTGTCTGCGAAGACCCCCGCCGCCGCCGACGCCTCGAACCGCTCCCACATTTGCGCCTCGACCGCGCGACCGACCGAAATGGTCTCGAAGCACGCCCCCCCCCCATCGCCGAGCGCTGCTGGTTGCCACCCCGGCAGCATGGTCAGCTGCAGGTGCTCCACGTCTGACTTCGGCGGCCGGTCGCGTCGGCGGCGGGCCCGCGCGCAGGGCGAAGTCGCGGCCGCACCGCCGTCGGCGCCGTTCGCCGGGAACGGCCGGACAGGCGGGGGGGCCGCCTATCCGCCGCTTCTTTTGCGTGCTGGGGCCAGGAAGAGCCTCTGTTTCTGACGCGGGCTGCTCCTGCCCCTGGACGGCGTCGTCCCGGGCGTCGTCGTGGTGACCTGGGACGAGGCGGTGTCCCCATCCCTTGGTGGCACCTCGCTCTGGGCGCGCCCCTCTCCTCCCGCGGGGGCCCCGCGCCCTCTGGCCTCCTCCTCCGCCACTGCCTCCGCCTCCTGGGACACGCCAGCTTCAAACGCATCCGCCACTGCCTCTGCCTCCGCCACTGCCTCTGCCCCCTCCGCCACCACTCCTGGGACGCGCCGCCTCCTCCGCCACTGCCTCTGCCTCCGCCATTGCTGCAAACCACCGCCAGCTTCCGCTTCTAGCGATCAGCCCCCGCCTGGTCGCCGAGCCTGCCGAACAGGTCGCCGCCGAGGTTCTCCAGCTCCGCATTGGTTGGCTCAGGGCTGACAGCCGCGGCGCTGGCCGCGGGCGCCCC